TGGATGGGACCATCTCACCCAAATCTGTGCCTGTGGATGGGACCATCTCACCCAAATCTGTGCCTGTGGATGGGACCATCTCACCCAAATCTGTGCCTGTGAATGGGACCATCTCACCCAAATCTGTGCCTGTGGATGGGACCATCTCACCCACGTTCATGCCTACGGGTGGGACCATCTCTCCAGAGGATGTGCCCATGGACGCAACAATCCCATCTATGCCCATGACCATGGATAGGACCATCCCATCCAGGTTCACGACCACAGATGGGACCATCTCACCCAAATTCGTGCCCACGGATGGGACCATCTCTCAGGAGCACCTGACCATGGATTTGACCATCTCGGCCAAGTCCGTGACCATGGATGAGACCCACCTGTCCAAGACTGTGACGATGGATGGGACCATCTTGCCCAAAACTGTGCCCACGGGTGGGACCACACCCCCCGAGCCCCGAGCCCCCGAACGCGGCGAAGAGGAGAAGAGTGAGGATGATGAGGTTAATGAGGAGGAGGATGACGACGATGACCATGGCAGCACCTCCCCAGAGGAAGATGCCGAGGACGAGGAGGACCTGGAGGAGGAGGAGGAGCCCCAGTTCCACACCAACCCCCTGTTCCAGAGCCGGCTGGTGGCCCTTGGGGGGGCCCAGGGGGTGCCCCTTTACCGAACCCACAGCACCGCCTTCACCGAGGGGGGGGACACCACAGGGGGCACCGAGGCAGAACGGGGGGACCCCCAACCCCCCCCCACGCCCACAGCCCTCAGGGGTCACCCCGAAGGGGACATTGGGGACATCGCCGTGGAGTGGGGTGAGTGTGGGGACCCCCCATCCTTGGGGGGGCTGGTTTCGGGGGGGGGCACTGATGCTAATGGGGACCACCCCCCCGGTGTCTTCTCCTCCCCCAGGACCCCCTCAACCCTCAGACCGGGCACTCTCCGATCCCCCGGAGCTGCCCCTGGGATCTGGGAGGGGGCAGCTGGAATGGGCGGAGCAGGACCCCCCTGCAGTCCCCACCCCTCTGGAGCTCAGCCCAGGTGAGGGGGACTGGGACCCCCCTACCCCTCCTGAGCTCACCTCAGAGCAGGGGGGCCTGGACCCCCCCACTCCCGGGTACCCCCCAGGAGGGGGACATGAGGATCTGCCCCTCCCCAGGCCCCCGACCCCCCCAGAGCCACTCCTGGGAGAGGGGTCTGGGACCTCCGCCAGCCCCCCAGTGCCCCCAGATTTGCCCCAGAAGGAGGGGCAACAAACCCCTCCAGCCTCCCCTGATTTGCCCCTCAAAGAGGGGCAAGAGACCCCCACAGATTTACCCCAAAAAGAGGGGTTCCAAACCACCCCAGGCCCCCCAGATACACCACAGAAAGGGGGGTACAAGACCCCCCCCACCCCCTCATCTTTGTCTCCAAAAGAGGGACACCAGATCCTCCCAGAACCCCCAGATTTGCCCCAGGCAGAGACACACCAGGCCCTCCCAGACCCCCCCAGTATGCCTCAGGGAGGGGGGTATGAGACCCCACCAGCCCCCACAGATTTGCCCCAAAAAGGGAGGAACGAAATCCCCCCAAATTCCCCCAATGTGGCCCAAAAAAGAGGGGGGTACCAGACACCCCCAGGCCCCCCCGACCTGGCTCAAGAAGGAGGGAACCAAACTACCCCAGATTTGCCCCAGGGAGGGGGGCACCAGACCCCTCCAGTACCCCAAGATTTTCCCCAGAAAGGGGGGTACCAAACCCCTCCAACCCCTCCAGATTTACCCCAAAAGGAGGGGCACCAGGCCCCCCTGGATGTGCCCCAGGTCGGGGGCCATCAAACGCCCTCAGCTGCCCCCAGTATCCCCCCAAAAGGGGGGCACCAGACCCCTCCACACCCCCCAGATTTGAACCAAGGAGTGGGGTTCCAGCTCCCCGCAGCCCCCCCAGATTTGCCCCAAAAAGGGGGGTTCCAGCTGCCTGTCAAGTCCTTGCCCCCCACCAATTTATCCCAGGGAGGGGGACACCAGAACCCCCCCAGCCCCCTGACCCCCCTCAAACCCCCTCTCAGCCCCCTTTACCAGCCCCCCCTCAAGTCCCCCCAGCTCGGCCCCCCC